CTAGAACTCAGAAAAGCCATTACACTCATGGTTACAGTCTATTAGAGTGAAAGGATATAAATTAAAATCAAAGGGAAGAGGTATATAGGGCTGGGTCCTGGAGAGACCAGGCATGGACCTTCCCATTCTTCTCGCCAAGTAAAATCTTGTGGACAGTGCTTGTTTCTCCTAGCAATGATGTGTGATAGTACACACAGAGTTTTGCCAACCAGGGAAGCTCACTCTTGCTGTTTAGAGATTAGGAGTTGGTCAAGTAGACATGGCTGACCACCCACACAGTCTCTCCAGAGATCAGGCTGATATCACAAGGCCCAATGCCTCCACCGTAAATCATGTTGTTAGCTTAGATTATCTGACAGGGCTCAAAGCCCCTAGGTAAACAAAGACACTCTTCTGGCAGGACACTCCAAGGACTTAGACATTACCTCTCAGGAGCTAGGGGCAAAAGATTAAATCTTTCTCAAGCAAGGTTAATTCTTTACTGCATGTTACCAAAGAGAAATAAAAAAGTATGCTCACACAAAAACTTGTGCACAAATGCTCATAACATTATTTCAAGATAGCCAAAAAAGTGAAAACATCCTGAATGACCATCAACTTATGGATTAAAAAACATATGTGGTATATCCCTACAATAGAATATTATTTGGTCATAGTTTTAAAAGAATGAATGAAACTATGATACATGTTATAACATGGATGGACCTTGAAAACATGCTAAGTGAAAGAAGCCAGATAGGGCTACATATTGTATGACTCTACTTATAAGAAATTCCCAGAAGAGACTTACCTATAAAGACTCAAAGTGGGTAAGTGGTTGTGCATTGCTGGGGCTGGGAACAGGGAGTGACTGCATATAGGCACAAGATTTATTTTGGGGGGGGGGTATTGAAAATGTGAAATTACATAGTGGTGATGTTTGTACAAGTCTGTAAATATACTGCAAACCATTAAAATGTATACTTAAAACTGGTGAGATTTATGGTATGTAAATTATATCTCAATAAAGCTGGGTTTTTTCTCTCACCCAAGGACATTTTTCCATTGCTTTTAGAGAGACAGGAAGGGAGAGAGAGAAACATCGATGCGAGAGAGAAGCATCGATTGGTTTCCTCCTGTATACACCCACACTGGGGATTATACACACCCAGACTGGGGATCGTATGCACCCAGACCAGCATTGAGCCTGCAACATAGGTATGTGCCCTGACCAGGAATCAAACCTGCTACCTTTCAATTATGGGACAATGCTCCAACCAACTGAGCCACACTGACCAGGGCAAGCTGTTTTTTGTTAATGGGCATAATATTTCTCCCATTACTCTAAATAGTTACAGTAGAAAGAAATGAGATGCATACAGAGGCATTTTGTTTAATAGGATGTACCAAATACATGTTTTGGGGGGAAAGTTAAAGAAGATTTTGATTGGCACCAAAACTTGGTTGTCATTTCTCATTTACTACCAAAATATTTAGACCTCTAGCTGTATAAATATCATAGAATTGAAATCCCCAATTCTATGAAAATAGAATGTATTTCATGGCAGTTTCTTATATATTCCATTTTTACTCTAAGAACCCAGCTCTTATTTGTATATTATATTTTATTTTATTTTGAATAATTTATATTTATGTCTCTACAGTCTATAAATTTGGCCTGAGAGAGATGATCTGTTTTTAGCTTCCCATGAGTAATAGTTTTATGTCACACATTCACCCCCTTGAATAAAAAACTATCTTTTTGCTTTCTCTTCCTATATTTTATCAGTTATTAAATGGCAAAAGAACATTTTGCCCAATGCTTTTAATCTTTAGCAATAGAATGCCTTTTGCACCTTGTTTTTTAAAATGACTAGCTAGTTTCTTAGCCAAGTGATGAGAAAAGGTACCCAGAAAAAAAGTACATTTTGGGCTTTTATCATCCTCATTTTCATGAGGCTTTTCATATATGTGGAAGTTTTAAGGATACAGATTTCAATGTAATGTAACAGACTTTTCCGACAGAGCTGTCCCACACTGGGGTGGGTTGTCTTGGAAATGAAGTTAAGTGGCTAAGATTACCACTTAATTGAAAAGTGGGTAGATGGAGGCATAGGTGGACACACCGTATCTCCACGCACAACCAAGATTGGAACAACAACAATTAAGAGGCAGAATAACACCCAGAACTGACAGGAAATTTATCTGAATGGAAGTTGGACAGCCAAGAAGTTGAAATAGGAGGGGTGGAGACAAGCAGCCGGGCGCGGGGCGTGGCAGAGAGAACAGGGAGAATTGGGAGGATAAGGCAACTGGGAGCGCATAAGGCATCTGGGACACGCAAGATCGCAGTGGGTAGACCCTGAGTACACAAGTGGCAGCTGGCAGACCCAGTGAGACAGCAATTGTGGAGGAGGGCAGAGTGCCCAACCCAGGATCCCAGGGAAGGGACTGAGGTCCCACGGAGAACGGAGCTACCACCATTGTTCCCTCTCAGTCCCGCCCTCACATACAACATCACAATCTAGCAACTGGGGTGCCCACCCCTGGTGAACACCTAAGGCTCTGCCCCTCACCTTAACAGGAGCGACCAGACCCCCCCCCCAAAAAAAAAGAGAGAGAGAGGGAGAGAGAGATGGCTCAAACAGAAGAACAAATCAGTGCCCCAGGACTCATCCTTTTGAGCGACCAAGAGATAGCCAGTCTATCAGATGCACAGTTCAAAACACTGGTGATCAGGAAGCTCACAGAATTGGTTGATTTTGGGCGCAAATTAGATGAACAAATGCAGGTTACCATAAAAGAAATGAAGGAAAATGCACAGGGAACCAATAATGATGGGAAGGAAACTGGGAGTCAAAACAATAGAGTGGACCAGAAGGAAGAAAGAAACAACCAAACAGGAACGAATGGAGAAATAAGAATTCAAAAAAAAAAAAACAAGGAGAAGCTTAGGAACCTCCAGGACATCTTTAAACATTCCAACATCCGAATTATAGGAGTATCAGAAAGGGAAGAGGTAGAGCAACAGATTGAAAATGTATTTGAACAAATAATAAAGAACTTCCCCATTCTGGCAAAGGAAATAGACTTCCAGGAAGTCCCGGAAGCTCAGAGAGTCCCAAAGAAGTTGTACTCAAGAAGAAACACACCAAGGCACATCATAATTACATTAGCCAAGGTAAAAATGAAAATGAAGGAGAGAATCCTAGAAGCAGCAAGAGATAAGGGGACAGTAACCTACAAAGGAGTTCCCGTCAGACTGTCAGCTGATTTCTCGAAAGAGACCTTACAGGCAAGAAGGGGCTGGAAAGAAGTATTCCAAGTCATGAAAGACAAGGACCTATATCCCAGATTACTCTATCCAGCAAAGCTTTCATTTAGAATGGAAGGGCAGATAAAGTGCTTCTCAGATAAGGTCAAGTAAAAGGAGTTCATCATCACCAAGCCCTTATTTTAGGAAATGTTAAAGGGACTTATCTAAGAAAAGAAGATAAAGAAAAAACATGTATAGTAAAAGGACCGCAAACTCACAATTATTAACAACCACACCTAAAGCAAAACCAAAAGAAACTAAGCAAACAACTTGAACAGGAACAGAACCACAGAAATGGACATCACATGGAGGGTTAGCAACAGGGGAGTGGGAGGAGGAGAGAGGGGGGAAAGGTACAGAGAATGAGTAGCATAGATGGTAGGTAGAAAATAGACAGGGGGAGGGCAAGAATAGTATGAGAAATGTAGAAGCTAAAGAACTTATAAGTATGACACATGGACATGAACTAAAGGGGGGGATGTGGGTGGGAGAGAGTGTACAGGGTGGAGGGGAGTGAAGGGGGGAAATGGGACAACTGTAATAGCATAATCAATAAAATATATTAAAAAAAGAAAAAAGAAAAGTGGAAGGAGTTTGGAGAGGCAGCAGGGAGGTGGAAAATGAGGTACTCTAGAGAGTACAAGCAATAATATATGTGATGCTGGATGAGATGATCTTAGAATTATATTCCATCCCTGGGACCCTTTATTCTATGAAATTAGTTTAAATGGAACCTGTCCCAATAAAGCTTTGATGGTTGCCAGTATTCACTTAGGTGTTGAATTTCTCAGTCTACTGAAGCAGAGTAGTGCAGCAATCATGAGCCAGATTCTCCATGCTCTCTCTGCCTATGAATCTTCAGTGTGTGTTACACAGTGTCACTTAACAAATATGTTGCATCTGGGAATGGCAAAATATAAACTTCATTTCAGATTGTCTAACCATACTGTCCAATAGAACTTTCTGCAGTGATGGAAATATGTGCTTTCCAGTATGATTGGAATGTGACTAACATGACCAAGGAATTGAATTTTTAGTTCTGTGTGATTTTAATTAATTTTAATTTAAATAGCTACTTTTGGCTAGTTGGCTACCATGTTGGACAGTACAGTGCTGCAAGAACAATTTCAGGAAGTTAGCTTACTTAGATATTGGAGCACCTGTGGCCTTTTTAGAACTAGTAGATGCTCTGGCAATAACAATTGACTTTGGGTGTTTTTTTTCTTTGTTCAGAAGCATTTCTTGAATACCTGCTTGTGCAGTAATTGATGGCAGTGTATGATGAATGACACGGGTTCTGTCCTTAAGAACTATGGCTGGGGATTTGGCATTTATTATACTATAGGTACAATGTGAAAAGTACCATTATAGAAGTATACAATGAGGTAATGTGGGAGACAGAGTAGGCACAGCATGAATCTTTAGAGGGGCCAAAGAAGACTTCTCAGACAGACTTAATGCTTGAGCTGAAATTAAAGAGGAGTTTGAAATTTTTTGGTTTTCAGTTTTTTGCCTCTGTTTTTGCTGTTTTCTATAGTAGCAGATTTCCTAGTTTACTTATAAAGCCTCTGTTGTGACCAATTTAGGACCAACTTTCTCCCTGTCTTTCCTTTGCTTCCTATGAGCTCTCATTTTAGGCCCAGGGATATAGGGCTTCCCCTTTCTACCCAGCCCTGTTTCTTTAACACATCTTTTCCTCCTGCAGTGCTCGGTGAAAAGCTGCACCATTGCCTTCCATGTCACCTGTGCCTTTGAGCACAGCCTAGAGATGAAGACCATCCTTGATGAAGGGGATGAAGTAAAGTTTAAGTCATTCTGCCTCAAGCACTGCCAAAACAGGCAGAAACTCGGGGAGGCTGAGTACTCCCTACACCGGTCTGCAGAGCAGAGCCAGGCCAAAAGTGAGAAGACCAGCCTGCGGGCACAGAAGCTTCGGGAGCTAGAAGAGGAGTTCTATACCCTGGTCAGTGTGGAAGATGTGGCCATAGAGCTCGGGCTGCCCAAAGTAACTGTGGACTTTATCTATAACTACTGGAAACTGAAGCGGAAAAGTAACTTCAATAAGCCATTATTTCCTCCAAAGGAGGATGAAGAAAAAGGCCTAGTGCAGCCAAAAGTAGAAAGTATTCATACTCGCATGAGAATGTTTATGCATCTACGGCAAGACCTAGAACGGGTAAGGTGAACAGCTGTGACTACTGTGTAGTTCTCAGTCTGCATAGAAATGGAGGTCCCACTTCCAATTTTTTTTTAAGGTCAGCTCATTTACAGTGTGGGTTTCTGTGCCCGTATATTCTGATTTCATTGTGACCCCAGACATTGGACTCTAAATTTTAGTAGGTGCATTCAGGGAATTGGAGAGGTCCCACTTATATCCTCTATGAACTTAAATCTGAAATAAATTTTCATGTGGTCTACTTTTTATTCACTATTGAGCCTAAATTGGCTCAGTTATATTTTACTGACACACTTGTGAAGACTATAGGCTGAAGAATGAATTTTGTTCAGGAAAGCACTAGATCAGAGTTTCTCAAACTCAGCATTACTGACATTGTGCTGAATAGTTCTTTGTTGCAGGAGCCTCTCCTTTGTTTTAGAAGACACTGTAACATGTTTAGTAGCATCCCTGCTCTCTGTCCACTAGATGGTAGTAGCAACCCTGCCCCCCATGCCCAGTTGTGACAACCAAAAAAAGTTTCCAGATTACCAAATGACCCCTGGGGTCAAAGTTGTCCTTAGCTGAGAGCCTCTGTACCAGATAATTTTATTTAAATATATATAATCCACTGTCTACTAAATTGGTACTACAGGGGTTCAACCATGTTAGACTCTGTTTACCCTAGAGAATTTTATAATCAAGTATAATTGTAGACATGGCTTGATTTTTTTCTCTGCTACCAGAATTTGGAAGGAAACTAATAGAGTTGGCTCACTTTTAAATTTTAACTCACATATATAGCACTTACTATGCAGAAGGACTGTTCTTAGCATTTTATAAATATTAACTCACTTAATCCTAACATGCCTATAAAGAAAGTGTTATCATTATCCCTACTTACAGATTAATAAATCAGGGTGCAGAAAGGTTGAGTAATTTCTCCAGGTAGGAGCATGAGAGAATGAGGATTCCACCCTTGTAACTGCAGAGACTTGGCTGAGCTGAAAGAGTGAGCAAAAAGCCACTTCCAGTCTCCCAGCAGACTTTCATCCTGCTGTTCCAGCACTCATTAGAAAATTATACTGGATCCAGCATTGCCATCATTTACTCCAGGATCTAAAATGAAGGCTGAAATGTTAAATCATCATTCAGTCTTCCCAGCCTGGTTGTACAGATAAATACTGAGCCGAGGACACCATTGGGAGAGTAGGCTTCAGGAGGTAGTTTTGGAGCGTTTTGCTTGTGCTGCTGATTGACATGGGGACCATGATCCCATGACTGGCCATGCTGTGTGAATTCCTGTAGAGTGGATTATCATGCAGTTTTGGGGTTCCATCTTTTTCTTACCACCCACCCCCACCCACCTGACTTTAGTTGTCTAAATTTTAGCTAAACAATTTTAATTGTCAGATTCCTATAACATGACAAAAACTTCTTTGCTGGGGGTTGGGCTTTCAGGTCCGAAATCTATGCTACATGATAAGCAGGCGAGAGAAGCTGAAGCTGTCCCAGAACAAACTACAGGAGCAAATCTTTGGTTTGCAAGTCAAGCTTCTTAACCAGGAAATGGCTGAAGGTATTCTAGAAAATATATAGATTCTGGTTATGTGCTGTTTTATGTGTTTAAATTTTATGTCAGTTGTTTCGCTTAAAATCTTTTAAATTTTTTTCCAGTGTCTCATTTGCTCTAGTCCAAACCTGATGTAACATGGCCTATTTAAACTATCGACCTATGAGACAAGAAATCCCAAGGTGGGATGGGGGAGTTGCAGATCTAGGGCAGGTGATCTAGGTTCCAGAGAGGTATTATGGACCATTAGTTGGAGCCATGAAATTATTCAGTAATCATCAGATTCATTTAGAAATCAAGAGGACAGTATCTATAATCTTAGTTTCCAGAAAATATCTCATTCCAGAGTTAGTCATCATAACAGTAGTCTGTTAGAACAAATCCTTAGCCAGAGGTTAGGAGATCTGGGTTCTTTCACTAATACAGGGGTGGCAAAAGTAGGTTAATAATAAGTAATACAATAATTAATAAATAATAATACAAGAAGAAACTCTTTTGTGTATTCATAGCTATAAACCTACTTTTGCCCACCATATATTTGTTGAGCATTTACTATAGACTAAGAACTGAGCTAGAAGATAATCAGTGAGACAGAACCCCTGCCTACAGAAATGCTGCCCATTAGTGAGAGAGATAGGTGAGCATAATTACAGTGCCCTAAACATGGGGATCTTGGCTAGAATGATGAGTCATGTTCAGTAACATTTGTGATGTCCCTGTGCCTCATTTAATACAGAAGTTGGTGGCAGAGCTTAGGCAACCAAAGGTCACTGAGCAGGGTGTGCAGAATCCAGCTCCTGCCAAGGGCCAGCCGTAGAGCAAGAGAGACACCCAGAAATGAGGTGTCAGGTAGGCATCAAAGGCTCTAGGGTATTTTTTAGTATTATGGGTCACAGAAGAATGGTGTAGCAGGAGGCAGCAGGGCTGCTTAGCCAAAAAAGTACCATGACAGGCAAGACAAGAACCAAAAAATAGCAGGGAGGAGCCCCAGCATGCTATCGGCCCCTAGACCACATGGCTTCTGATTGGGGAGGGGCAGCCCCATAACTGCTTGGGGTGTCAGCTGATGGCAGCCTCTGGAAGAGAAGGGGCTGTGAGCATTCAACATGAACCCTTAAGGAACAAATTCTGCCCACCGAGGCACCTAATAGCTGCCCTCTCTATATGTCATTTTTGTGAGGCTACATTAAGATGGTAATAGGCAAACTTCAAGACCATATGCAAGGAGGAGTTGTTTGGTAGTGCTCCATTAATTTCAGAGTACTCAAAATCATAGAAAGAGGAATACCTGTTCTAAATAGGACTGTGGAGTGACATAGCCAGGTAACTGATTGCCAATACTCCCTGGGCTAAGCTTACTGCAGGGCATTGGCAGGAATTGCATGATTCCTTTCTGCCAGCCTTGCCATTACAAAACTTGCCTCATACCTCCCTGAAGGTCATTCATGGTGAGAAAATCTTTTTAGGTTAAGGACATAATAGTAATGGAAACCACCCAGTACCACTTCTATTAATGCTAGGATAAAACCCATACTCACATACTCTTCACTCACCAAAGCCTGTGGTATGTTCCTGAGGGTTTGTGTTTGATTTGCTTCAGGACAGCCAGGAGAGAGTAGAGAGTAGGTTCTGAAATGTCTACATTTAAGGCACATCCTAAGTGCTATACAGTACCCACAGACATGCACACACATACAGACACAAATCTAGTGATATTCTTTTCAGAAATGGGGATGTAAGAGGCAGTACACTAATCTTTGTGATCATTTTACAAATCGGGAGAACAGAGGTGAAAAAGTTGGAAGTCACACAAACAAACACTAATTCAGCTCACTCCAGCTGTTATATACTATAATATACATACATATGAAAGATAGGTTCTTGTTAGACATTTGGAAGAGTGGGTATGCAGACTCACTCTGCCATAAGCACATATGCTGTTTTTTAAATCATTTGTTAAAATGAATCTTTCTTTTTGATATCAGAACCTCCTTTGTCAAGTGGACCAGATAACTCATCTCAACCACCACCAAGAATTACCTTAAAGTTAAAAATGCCCAGATTAGCCCTGGAAGACTGCGGAAACAGTTCCACAGAGTCTGATCATGGACCCTTTTCTCCTGGCAGCAACTCCCCTGCTCCCAATACAGGGAGCATGCAAGTGCCTCAGGAATCATTAGAAATGAGAATGAAATCCTATCCAAGGTATCCATTAGAGAGTAAGAATAACCGTTTGCTGGTAGGTCTGGGCCTTTCTAGGAGTGAACCAAAGGATCTTAGTCCTGCTCGAACAACTCCATCACCAGAGTTCTATCAAGGGCAGTCACTGGGAAAACCTCCGGTCCTTCAGGCCACCATGCATGGACAGTCCTTAATTGGGAATGGGAAAAGTCAGCCTCTCTCCAAGTTTGTCAAATCCAATGGCCTGGAGGGCAGCTGGTCTGGGGATATCAACCCAATAGACAGCTCGAGTGAGATATTATGTGGCCAGGAGTCCATGCTCACCTCCCACTTGGCCAGTCAGGGTAGCTTTAGAAAACCTACCGTGGAACATTTCAGCAGGTCTTTTAAGGAGTCCACCAACAGGTGGGGGAGGACCACAGAGGGCCTCCAGTGCTATGGGAAGCAAACCAAGAATGTTAACCCCAGGGAGCAGCTCTGGGGCAAGCAGCTTGTCAGGCGTTCTGCAGGGAAAGCTCCATATCAGGAAAATGATGGGTATTGCCCAGATTTGGAGCTGAGTGATTCAGAAGCAGAAAGTGAGGGGAATAAAGAGAAAGTCAGGGTAAGGAGAGAGAGCTCAGACAGGGAAAATCCTGCTCATGACTCTAGACGGGATTGCCATGGTAAAAGCAAGACATATCCCTTCTCCCACAGTTCAATGCAAAGGTGATTAACAACTTCCAAGAATATTGCAAGAATAAATGCAATATTTGCCTTTGCCTCATATATTGTGGAAAACCCCACACACCAGAAGGATCCTGGCATATGTTGGGGAGGAATCTTGGTGAAAAGAATAAAATGTTTCCACAGTAAATTGGCTTGCAATTTCTAAACCAGTTTCAAGCCTAGTTTTCACAAGCACATTACAAGAATTGCAGATTGTCCAAAAGTTTGTTTTGTGTTTTTGTTTTTGTTTTGTTTGTTTGTTTGTTTGCCAGATACTATTGAGAACAGCTGGGCCCAGAGTAGTTGTTCAGTAAATACTTGAGGGCAGCTTTCCAGTTATATTAACACAATGGTGTGCATATGTATTAAGAATCCCTGCATTATTAATGGATTTGCAAGAGACCATGACTATCAGACACTAAAACTACTTATCTTTTGAACCTACAGCATGTGACTCCTAGAGCTCCATCTGTAGGAAGTTTCTGACTCCACTGGTATCTGGAAACCCTCCTCAGGGAAAGACCAGGGATCAACATCTCAGATACTGTCAAACTCACTACCCTCTTTGTTTGCTCTGCACAAGGTTGAGTTCCTTTCAGAGGATCTTAATTTACCAATTCAATACTACTAACGCTTCTAAGTGTCCAGTGCCTGTTCCTAGACTTGCTTGTTGGGGACCCAATTGTAACTATTTCACCCAGCTAACAAGCATAAAAGGCTAACTTGTGGATAGTGTTTACAAAAGTACTACTTCCAAGGAAAATGCTCTGATTCTCTCAGTTGTGGACATTTGTGAAGGATCCCAGAGCCTTTCCCAAAGTAAGACCATTTCTGGGGGATTTTTACCAGGTCAGGGTTTTTGTGTTATTGTTTTCAAATAAGTTTGACTTAAATAAGTTCGGCTGACAGTTTTTGTATACCTGCTTTGATGTTTATAAAAATTTTATTGAGGTATAATTAAAATATAATAGAATGCACAGAGGTTAAGTATTCTTACCTGCTTTAATTTTGAAACAGATTTTTATTGTCAAACAGAATTTGAAAACATGTGTTTAACACATGGATATAATTTAGCTTTGTACCAACTTTGAATCTGAAGCAATTTTCCAAACAAAAAGGCTGGAGCCATTTTTCAGAAGTTGCTTATACACTGTTCCCAAACTATCAGCCTTGATTAATTTCTGGGAGGAAGAGAATGATTACATTTGGGGGTGGATAAACATGTCTGCTTCCCATTTAAAGAAAGGAAAAATATTACAGCTTTTAAAATGTGAAGCCAACTATAATTCCTGCTCTCTTTTCTTCTTAGCCTTAAGTTAATATTCTCTTTTTTCTAGTTTGGGAAAGTATAGTGGTAATTTTCAGGCAAAAGGGGCCATTTTAGAGTCTTAAAGTTGCTTACTGGTAAAACAGTCCAGCTGCAGTAGATGCCAGTTGCTCCTCTATATGGGAAACTCAACAGTTTCCTCTCCCCACTTTTGTTCTTATAGCCTTGTTAATGGATCTATTTGCTTTTGTTTTTGCCTCCTGTTGTGAAAATTTCTGTATTTTGCCTATCCTTTGGCCACACCTTCAACATGTTTCCTTTATGCCTGTGTACTGGTATGAACATGCTCTAGCATGTGTGGGAGGTGGCCTGTATTTTGTTTGAATGGAAAAAGCTATGACTTATCCAGAGGAGAAATAGAATTTCTCCTATTTATGCACTAGGTTTCTGTGCTTTTTTTTTTTTTGTAGTTCTCCTGGGATAGATATTAATTTGACACTTTCAGGGCAATGAAATGATAATAGAGCTATGTTATAAACTCCTTCTGTTACAGGCCAGTACAGCAGCCTATGTCCCGTAATGCCTTTCAATTATGAGTGAATGGGAAGAAAAGCAAACATTGAAAAAGTGCTTCAGCCAAAATTCCATATGTAATACCATTGGAAGAGTATTGACTAAAATAATTTCAGTCAGGGAAATATAGTTGTAATATTTTTACAGGATTTTCCTAAGCAAATGAAGCAGCCTTCAGTTGTATAAATTTCAATTGCCCCAAAATGTATTTGCTACATTTTGCTGTTGTTTGAAGTATTACCTCTTAACCGTCTTTGTTAATTTTTTCATTTTGTCTTATATAGTACAGTTTTCCAAGACAAATTCAGTCTTTTTTCATATGTCACCTTTTTACCAATACTTTTTCATTAAATTATAAAAATTGCTAACTACTGTCATTGTGTTAATTTTTTATTTTGGCATATGGGTTTTAGAAAATCTTACATATGTGCTTTTTATATTTAAAAAAATCTTATTCATGCCCTGGCCAGTGTGGTTTACTGTGTTGGAGCATCATCCCATAAACCAAAATGTTGTGGGTTCGATTCTGATCAGTGCACGTACCTAGGTTGTGGGTTTGGTCCCCAGTTGGGGAGCATGCAAGAGGCAACCAGTTGATGTTTCTCTGTTATGTAGATGTCTCTTTCCCTCTTGCTCTCCCTCCCCTCCTCTCTCTCTAAAATCAATGAGCATATCCTCGGTGAGGATGAAAGAAGAAGAAAAAAATCTTATTCATTAAACAAAACGGTGGAAGGGAAGGAAGGAGGAGGAGGAATTGAATATTTAGAAGCACAAATTCATGATTAACGTCAATACCAGGGACCGAAGACAATTCTGAGGACTTGAACTCTACCAGAAATCATAGGTTCATTGGGCCAATAAAACAAAACCTTAGGATCATCATTTTAAAAATCACCAGGGAAATGGATCCCATCTACAGTCACAAAGTTCAGGAGGCTTAAGTTAGGCAAATACACATCTTTACAGTATTCATTCTATTTGGAGTCTTGTGAGTATAAATATATAATGTTATAGGGGTCATATAGTATTATGGGGGGACTTTGAGGACATTATAAAATTTTTCATTATGTTTGAGAAATGTACTTACTAAAGATCATTTGATAAATTGGTAGTGAAAATAGTAAAAATATAAGGTGGTTTCTTTCCCCCTTCCTCCTGCACTCCCTCTCCCTCCCATTTATGTATAACTTTTGATTCAATAAATCATTAGGTAAAATGCCAGACAACTGATACTACAAATATACCCTATTAGAGCCAGCTACAGCTTTGGTTTTATACTATGTCTGTATTTCCAATGGGAGATGAACCTTTACCTTTGCGTTGAAGAAACTTTTAAACTCAGAGGATGTACAATCCTGGGGTTTTTCCCCTCCAGGACTTTATAGTGCTCAGCATTGTTTTTGTTTTTACTTTTTTGTTTCATTTTTTAAATTTTTTATTGCTTTTTATTGATGTTCAAGTACAATTGTCTCCATTTTCTCCCCACCACTCCCCCCCTACCCATCCCCACCTCCCACCCACAACCCTACCCTCTTTGGTTTTGTCCATGTGTCCTTTATTTATGTCATGGTACATTTACACAATGGAATACTACACAGCAGAAAGAAAGTTCCTGCCCTTTGAGGCAGCATGGGTGGATCTGGAGAGCATTATGCTAAGTGAAATAAGCCAGGTGGTGAAAAAAAATACCATATGAGTTCAGCATTGTTTTTAAAAAAGGAAGAACAGGCCAAATAGAGTCACTTTTGCTACACTACATCACTAAACCAAAAGTTAAGGACTAACCTAATTGCATTTTCAACCTCTCCCAGATTGTAATTCCCTGGTCAGCAGTAGGTAGGTAATCTGTCTGATAAGACCCCCTGCCTTCCCCTAAGGGAAGGTGTTCTAGCCTGAAGCAGTCCACTTTTTAAACTTCCTAGTCCCATCCTCCTCCTGCCTATAAAAACCTTCCATTTTGTACAACTCATCTGAGTGCCCTTTAGTTGATAGATGGGATACTGCCCAATTCATGAGTTGCTTAATAAAGCCAATTAGATTTTCCAGTTTGTTCTTTAACAGCATGATTGCTGACTCCTAAGAATCAAGAAAAAATACATGATGGGAGTAAAACCTTATTTACCACTGAATAACTTTCATGCAATATTTTCCCCAAAATCTCTTATAACAAATATTTATTAGATTTTTACAACCTTAATTCAACTATTTTAAACTTTTATGGAAAGAGACTTGTATTTTTTAAAAACAATTTTAGTTAATAAATAAAGGCCTGGCCTGAGGCTGTCACTCTTAAACAGGGAACTCTCTAAGGCTCGATTCAGCACTATTAAAGGCAGCTTCTGTGAATTCAGTTAATTTTACTTCATGGATTGGAACAAATTGCATGACCTGAAGTCAAGAGGACAATTGTCTTTGAAATCAGTCTGGTGGGGGAGACTCCAGCCCTAGGCTGGTATCCCCTGCTTTCTCCAGCCACTGATGAGTTGAATACGTTAACCATCTTGATAAATTCCCAGAGTGTCCATCATTTCTCATCTTGTTAAGGAGAATTTGGGTGTGAGCATTCTAGCCTCAAGGCATAGACACCCAAGGTTTAATTTCCTTCCCTTCCCCTCACAACTCCTACCCAATCTTATTTCACTCATTTTTACTGAATGTTGGAAACCATTTGCAGAAACACCTTTTGGTCAACATTACTTTCTAAAGTGTTGCCGCAATGTAATGAAGCTGCTGCTATAAATCACACATGGAAATGGGTCTCATTTTATAATAATTTCTCAGAAGATGAAAACAATTTCATGCTAATAATTGCCAACATTTGGAAAATTGTAATCTCACTGAATTAATCACCTCAGCCTCTCAAAGAAAGATACTTCAGAACTAGACTTCCGGCAAGATGGAGGCATAGGTGGATGCACCGTATCTCCACACACAACCAAGATTAGAACAACAACAATTTAGAGGCAGAATAACACCCAGAAATGATAGAGAATTTATCTGAATGGAAGTTGGACAGCCAAGAAATTGAAGTAGACCCTCCAGACCAGGAGGAGGGGTGGAGAGGAGCAGCCGGGTGAGGGTCACGGCGGCGTGGAGAAAAAGGAGAACTGGGCGCATAAGGCCATGAGGAGGGAGCATATAAGGCATCTGGGGTACACAAGATTGCAGCGGGTGGACCCTGAGTACACAAGCGGCAGCTGGCGGACCCAGTGAGGCGGTGATTGTGGACCAGGGCAGAACGCGCAACTCAGGATCCCAGGGAAGGGACTGAGGTCCCACGGAGATCAGAGCTACCACCATTGTTCCCTCTCAGTCCCGCCCCCGCATATAACGTCACAATCTAGCGACTGGGGTGCCCAGCCCTGGCCAACACCTAAGGCTCCGCCCCTCACCTTAACAGGAGCAACCAGACCAAAAAAATAAAAAAAGAGAGAGACATGTCTCAAACAGAAGAACAGATCAATGCCCCAGGACTCATCCTTTTGAGCGACCAAGAGATAGCCAGTCTATCAGATGCACAGTTCAAAACACTGGTGATCAGGAAGCTCACAGAATTGGTTGATTTTGGGCGCAAATTAGATGAACAAATGCAGGTTACCATAAAAGAGATGAAGGAAGATGCACAGAGAACCAATAGTGATGGGAAGGAAACTGGGAGTCAAAACAATAGAGTGGACCGGAAGGAAGAAAGAAACAACCAAACAGGAACGAATGGAGAAATAAGAATTCAAAAAAAAATGAGAAGCTTAGGAACCTCCAGGACATCTTTAAACGTTCCAACATCCAAATTATAGGGGTACCAGACGGGGAAGAGGAAAAGCAACAGATTGAACACGTATTTGAACAAATAATAAAGGAGAACTTCCCCATTCTGGCAAAGGAAATAGACTTCCAGGAAATCCAGGAAGCTCAGAGAGCCCCAAAGAAGTTGGACCCAAGAAGAAACACACCAAGGCACATCATAATTACATTAGCCAAGGTAAAAATGAAAATGAAGGAGAGAATCCTAGAAGCAGCAAGAGATAAGGGGACAGTAACCTACAAAGGAGTTCCCGTCAGACTGTCAGCTGATTTCTCAAAAGAGACCTTACAGGCAAGAAGGGGCTGGAAAGAAGTATTCCAAGTCATGAAAGACAAGGACCTATATCCCAGATTACTCTATCCAGCAAAGCTTTCATTTAGAATGGAAGGGCAGATAAAGTGCTTCTCAGATAAGGTCAAGTAAAAGGAGTTCATCATCACCAAGCCCTTATTTTAGGAAATGTTAAAGGGACTTATCTAAGAAAAGAAGATAAAGAAAAAACATGTATAGTAAAAGGACCGCAAACTCACAATTATTAACAACTACACCTAAAGCAAAACCAAAAGAAACTAAGCAAACAACTTGAACAGGAACAGAACCACAGAAATGGACATCACATGGAGGGTTAGCAACAGGGGAGTGGGAGGAGGAGAGAGGGGGGAAAGGTACAGAGAATGAGTAGCATAGATGGTAGGTAGAAAATAGACAGGGGGAGGGCAAGAATAGTATGAGAAATGTAGAAGCTAAAGAACTTATAAGTATGGCACATGGACATGACTAAAAGGAGGGATATGGGTGGGAGAGGGTGTACAGGGTGGAGGGGAGCGAAGGGGGGAAAATGGGACAACTGTAATAGCATAATCAATAAAATATATTAAATAAATAAATAAAATAAAGATACTTCAGGTTGGGCACTTATATTTTCAATCTTTCAACTGCTTAGGGAAGCACACATTACATACTTTTCCTGCTTCAGATAAGCCTTGCACATGTACTGGGGTTCTGGTAACAGACTTTCCTTTTCATTCTGATTTTCTTCTTCACTTTTCCAAGATAGGATCTCTGGTTAATTATGTCCCCCTCCCTCCAGCTCTGCAAACAGGTGGCCATGGGGGTAAAACCAATAATTGTGTTCACAAGGCTGTTTTTGGCTGTGTGCAGTACTGTGGCCACTCAGCAGCCTTCTCAGTCATATTTGCCCACAGAGCTAACAATAAACAGTATCAAACAGGGCTGTCTGTATCTTTGGATCAGAATTTATGCCAATGTCCTTGCCCCCCACAATCCTTGAAGATGGACTGAGAACTATACTAGCAAAGGCAGGTGTTCAAGGCCCCACACCTAGTACAGGCAGCATCAGGACTAGAAACAGCTTGCTTGACTCCTGTGCCCCAAGCCTTCTCTAAATGTTCCTACTCAGCTTCTTTGTGAAGAAAGGAACCAGAGTTGGTGTTTAATCATCTGAGTTATGTACCACTTGATGTTTTCCATCCTGGACAGAGATGACTGGACCCGAATTAGTCATCTGACACAAGAGCAGTTTGGAGGCTCACATTCA